TTGTGGACCTCTGTTGGCCTTTTTCACAACCCAGACTCTTGGTGTGTCATCTCATGTTAATGTTTGAGCTCTGGCATGTTATTTTAAACATTTGACTGACAACTTCTGTTTTCTCATCATCAGATGATCTCAGTGTAAATCTGTGGCCTGAAGGCGGTGGGCGATATGCATTTCATGAATAAATGCTGGACCTCTAATAGTTCTAGATTCCACTGTTGACTGGACCCGATGTGAACAGTGAGTCATGAAACATGCAGACAATCAGTGGTTCTTTTGGATTCTCTAACAATAATCTACTGACGAGAAGACTGAAGATTTTACTGTTTAGCTGGGAACAGGAAGTAACAGACCCTGAAGGCAGCATCGCTCCAACATCCTGTCAGCCCGCGGATGGAAACTCCTCAGAACCCTCTTTAATCTCACTGGAATGTTGTTCTATTGATTTCCACCCATGAATAATCGGGTTTTCAGCCTTCCACCCGTTAGTGAACACTTCTTTCTAGCTGCTGACGGTGATTTCACCGCAGCAGAGAACTCTCTCCAGCCAGCCAGAGAATGACAGGGGATTACTGTCACACACATTTGCATATCAAGAATTTGAAGCAACCGGGGAGAAAATATCGAACCCTGCAGCCTGCAAGGTCATTTTTCCCTCTCTGGTAATTTATTTTGCATATCATGCAGCACGGACCCACTGCAGATTAAAAAAGGCGGCTTTAGCAGATCGTGTCAGGCCTGATAGGAAGAAGCTCCCACCTCGATTTCAGGACACGGCACACCCTCATCAAACCGACACACACATCAGGACAGTTTTATAGACGAAAAATACCTAAAATAAACTGTTTAATGCCCCATGTTAGGATAAAAACACTAGTGGTAAAGGAAAAAAAGAAAAAAATCCTCTTATTTGTTTTTATCTTTGAGTAAAGAATTTATTTCAATCCACACACAAAGTCTGAGTTCAGTAATTAATCATTTTATCTCCAAAAAGGAAGAAAAAAACCCAAATTAAAATGTTCTGTTGTTGTTTTTCTCTCCTTCATGTTAATATCAGTCCGTGTGAACAATAATAACCACGGCAACAAAGACTGATTTGAATAAAATATTTGAATAAATTAAGAGATTCTTATCAGGAGGTTAGAACACAAACTGTGCGCAGAAAGGGAAATTAAAATTTTCATATCGAGGAATTACTGGTTTTCAGATGAGAATAACTCTTTTTTTATCTTCAGAAATATAATTACTAACTTGTTATTCTATGAATTTACACAGAAGCCATCGCTTTTATAAGAAACAGAAATATCGGGCTTTACTTTGATCATTTTATGGAAGAAAACAGTTTGATGGATGCAGCTTAAGATTTGTTTTTTTGTTGAAAGTACAAAATACTCCAATATTTCTGTATTTTGACTTAGAAAAGTTAATTTTCTTAAGATAATTAGAAATTATTTTAAAATCACAATGAAATACAAAGAGGAACTTCATCAGAAATGTAGTTCATATGAATGGGACAGAAAAATTCACATCAATAAACTACAGTTACAGATCAAGTGTCCTGACAGAGAGCATCGTGACGGATCAAACACATTCCTTTTCTAATTATAATTATCTCGTTTAATTTAAAAACAGCTAGTTTTATTATTAATAATATTCCATTATCTCAAGAAAATGACCGGAACTAAAGGAATATTTAAATCATGACTAAAAAATAAACATCACATCAAAACAAGTGGTAGGCTGATGACCCCGTCTCTGAGGATCTGAACGCTGAATGTTTGTAGTTTAGAGACGAGTGTTTTTCTGGACTGGACTTGAACAGAGAATGAAGAAAACCTAAATGTTTTTGGTGCAAGATGTTCAAGTGTGGAGGTGTTACACTGAGGAGAAGTACAGAGGGAGGTGTGTTCTGTAGAGAGATCTTGGAAAGAGGAGGGAGCAGTTTCATCCACCACCAGGAGCAATGGAGGGGGGGGGGGGGGGGGGGGGCTTGGCCCCCATAGATTAATCTTCAGCCACCCCGATCATTTGAGGACACTGTAATTTTAAGAAGTATAAAAACTAGAAAGTATAATTTACTCAAATGACAGGGGTGGCCAGTTTGTGCATATACTGCGTACATATATATTTTATACATATATTTATGGTGGCAGCCATCTTGGATTTTGACGATGTGGTAACCCAGTTTGTGAAAGGAAACATTCTTCCACCTTGATGCAGCCGCACACCAACATGGCAGTAGGTACCTCACTTGTTTTTCAGTCATCATGCTCATAACACGGACAGACATTTATGACGACAGCTATCTTGGATTTTGAAGTGTCAAAATATTTACACCATCTGTTACACTTTTTTTTGTCTTATAACATATCTTTAAAAAGTTTCATATTTAGGACTTAACTGCATTTTATAAAATATCACTTCACGTTTTCTTCAGCTCCACAGTTCAGACAGAGGAGGAGACGTCTCAAGTCATATTTAAGACGTCTGAATAATTAAAGATGTTCTTTTTTATTAAATCTGATTAAAATCACAATGAGATGCAGGCGTTAGCTTCAGTTCGCCTGCTGCCTCAGCTCAGGCTGCAATGCATTATGGTCTATTTTCACCCACAGGTCCAGTTTCTGAGGAGACATTAGATGGTACAAGATGGCTGACTCTCTGTTTACTGAATGAGAGAATGATTCAAACATAGCCCAAGACCGGGTCGGACATCAGGCTGTGGTTCTGACCCAGTCATCTACAGGCATGTGCCTCCAGAACAGGTTCAAACATCTGGACCTCAATCCCAGGAACACAGCTTTTGACTGGTTCTGATCTAAACCAAAATGGCCCAGAAGGCTGGAGAGAAGTTCTGGACACAGGTTTCAGGGAGAATCTACTGAAGAGCTCATTTGATTCAAAGAGCCTGAAATCAAGTGGATCTGAACAGTCCTGGTCCAAACCCCCACCATCAGAACCAGTCTACCCCCCGTGTTCATGTCTCACACAGGGGGAACATTTCTGATGAGCAGGAACAACGTTACTAGAAGGAACAGGAGGAGATGAACACTGGGAGGAGGAGGGAGGTGTTGGTAGTGATGGAGAGGAGTGGAGAAGGTGGATGGATGGAGGGAGGAAGGTGGTGGTGGGGGGGTGATGATAAGAGAAAAATTCAGACCGGTCAAAGTTTCCTTTTTGCCAATCGTGCTCCTGATAAAGACAGCGCCTGCTCCGCAGCTGATAGAGGGCCTATCTCTCTCCCTTACTCTTCCTCCCCCCTCCTCTTCCCCCTCACTCACCCGGCAGTTAGTTTGTGAGGAGCAAAGAAAAAAAGGAGCCGTATCAGCACGGCATCATGGTGCTACCATCAACCAGCCACCGCGCAGCAATTAATATCGCTCCAATTACTGTTAAAGGGACGAGGCTGGGACAGCACGATAATGAACACATCCTCCTCCCCCCCCCCCCCCCCCCCCCGCACACGCACACAACGTGAACACACCACACAAGCACACGCACACACACAACGTGCACAGCTTGAAAAGGAAATAATGCCAGATAGTGCGGTAATCTTCCTGCATTGTTTAACTCATTGAAGACAACAGACAGAAATAAATAAATAAGCAAACAGACCTCGATAAGAGAGGAAATAAATATTAAAATTATTTACTTCTTATCTTCTCTCAGCTGTGTTTTTCTTCCTACAACTTAAATGTGTCACGTTCACACCCTGTCCAACCCAACGTGCCCTGAGAGACGCTCAGAGGGCGAGCAGGAAGAAGAGAGTAGAGGAACGATGAGCCAAACTCATCGTGTCCTAAAGTGTTTCTGCAGAAACACAACAAGGTGCACAGCTGATGTGTTGTTCTTCACAGCTGATGTGTTGTTCTTCACAG